TATTTTCTCACCACCCCACACTCCAAATATCGATAAACTAATTAAACTATCACATCATCTCCTTCCCCTCAATTATCCTACCAACAATTAACTACCACCTTTCCACCTAAAAATTCAATAAAGCATACGTTTATTTCATATATATCCAAATAAAATTTATAACACAAACAAAACACGACCTCCAATAAAAAAAATAATTCCTAACCCATTCCCCCTCCACTCCATTAAAACCCAATACACACATCTTTAACAAATAATATAAAATTACCATAACTAACTACCACTAACCCCCTTTACCCATATTCTTCCCTTACTCTATAGTACCCCAAAAAACCAAACACCATACCATTTTATATTACAAATCCCTCATTCAACAAAACCCTGTACATATCTTCAACTAAATTACAAACAATATCATCAACACCAATCCAAATCAACCTATACATCCTCCTCCCCCATTCATACAAACCAAATCATTAATCCTACGCACTCGCGCCCCACGTAATATACTCTCAAATTCCCCTCTACACATCCACGTTAACGCTTCAACTCCCTACCCAAAAAATTTACTGGTCATACCACAGAAAAATAACAACACTGACAAAAGAGATATTTATTAGAATATATCTTAATACAAACACCTCATATCCACATATTAAAACTCAAAACAAAACAATATTCACAATCCCCCATTCCCAAATTACCTTAAGCATATCTCCACTCCCCTTACCATCCAATATAACAACCTTTTTACAATACCAACACAATACAGTACTACCACCCCTGATATAAACCTTAACGTTCACCCACATTCATCAACATGATAAAAATTACCACTCGCAACACCTCTAAACAAATAACTTCTGTCAAATACAATGAACATAACCTCCTAAACTCCAAACCCCAACAAACCAAACAATAAAAAATTCCTACCAATCACCATCCACGCATCATTAATTTCCATAATAACAACACAGTTTCCTTCTCACACAATGCCTAAACACTATTTAACTAAAAAAAACAGATCCTTTCTTATATCATAATAACTCATCCTCTCTCCATGAGGAACCCACCACAGTAACTATATCTTCTCACACATTCCTCCTCACTACGCCGCCGTTAACCAACAAAAAAATCCTAACTCTTTCTAATATTGTAATGATTCTTAGAATTTATAGTTCTGTGTCTAGGAATCTTATTCTTACCAATTTCCTATGTACATGTGTCAAATACTTTCATGTCTCCATCTAAATTGTCCTCATCCCTCCTCTCATATAGTATCAGACACAAAAACTCTGCCATCTCACATCTGAACAAAATCTATTACGAATGCAAACAAGATAATCATAACCTGTCTATAGACCACAACATAATATCAGACACGCTTCCACTGCTCAACATAACCCCTCGCAGAAGAAAGATACCAAATCAGGCCTCTCTGTGTGTCACAATCAATCTTAGAGCAAGAATCAACACTCCCTAATATAAGAGTGGTGTTGATCATCTGTTGCACCATAGAGTTGTCACTGCATAGACTCCTCACGTCATGTCTCTGCTAAGTCGTAGACCTATAAGCGTACTCTGGACTCTTACAGATCAATCATAAGAATCTCATACTCATGAGTAATCAGTGGCTCTGCTCGTGCAGATATAATATGCAGGAGCACTTGTTGACATAGTCTGGTACGATATGAGAAAGCTAATGCTACGCTGAAAATCATTATTAGGTCACAGACGACTTACTGCACCACCTCTGTATGTATGATGTGAGTGTTAGACTATCCACTCCCACATCCACTTTCATCACCACTACACCTCTCTTCATCTCCCCCATTAATAGATCTAAAACCACGTGTAGTGTCATATTATGTATTAGTTATAAATTGATAAAAGAGTTTATATCTCTCTACGGATCCAATCCTGTCGCGCCGACTGCATATACGTATCGACCACTCACACTTAGAGAATCTACTCTCTATTCTACTCGCAGAAACTCACCCCACTACTCTAGTGGGCATAGATGATCACCTGCTAGCTGATCACTCGAGACAGAGCGAAATACATCTATAAAATACACTGCGCTCAGCATCATTAACATAATATTATTTCCCCACATAAATATATATCCCTCACCAATACATACCGCACATAGATAGACACCCTCGTCATCAGTCGCTCGCTCACATGCACGCTGTGCTCTGTAGACGTGGGCTCTTCTCACTGTCATATGTCTCGTTCCCGCGCAGTCCTCCCACCTCTATAGTACACTTAACGACACAGTAATGTCACGAGGACAAGAACCCTCTCGCCCTCAGGAACCTAAACTTCAGTGGGAGTGTTTGTCGTGTGTGTCCCTTTCACTAGACTGAGAGCAGACATGGGTAGACATAGTGAAAAGAAAGAAGAGCAGGAGCAGTCGCAGTTGACACTAGAAAAGAGCAACTGATAGGTCTATCAAGAGTTTTTTCCTAACGCATCATAACCTCAGGCAAGCGCTGGCGCTCAGAGACCTCGAGGAGCCAACACAGAGCAGGGAGCAAGGCCAGTCAAGGAGACAGCTACCGACGAGCACAGGCGACGCAGCTAGTCAGAGGATGAAGAGGCATGCCACATCCGTTAGAGTTACCGATCGTGCCGCCGTGAGCAGACCGGACCGCCTTGCACTGGAGACGCCACGCTATCAATCTAGAAACAGGTCGTGATGATGGCAGCTAGTCGTCAGCTGGATATTGCTTCAGGATAGGATTACAGCAAATCCAGGACACAGACGATGAGCCTATACTGCCGATATAATACCAAGCACTGCCCGACTAGCAGCATCTACGTCGTAACCGAGAGATCGCAACTATATACAGCGCTATGCCAGCACGAGTAGGGTGTTAACTCTGAGACGTAGATGCTCTCGCCACGCGCTCTCGTCGCGAAAAAGGTCCGTGTCACCCGATGATTCAGCGTCTACTCGCTATAGCCACAGAGAACTTATAAGCGATAGTCGGTTAAATGAGCCATTAACCTAGACAGCCTTTATCCACAATAGAAACTTTTAAGTCCTAGTTAAACTGCTCGACGGGCTTGATGTCCTGGATAAAATGGTAGTTGGTTACCACAGGAGAGGAGCACTGAGAACTACAAGATCTCTGCAATCCTCCACTCATACTTTTTAGGACTTTAGGGAACCATAGTCAACCCTGAGATGAGCGCGATTGCTCTGTTAGGAACATAAGGAACAATCAGATCTCTGATATCAGATGGAGCTTGGCCATTTAAGGCTTTATATGTGAGAAGGAGGATTTTAAATTCTATTCTGGATTTAACAGGAAGCCAATGAAGAGAAGCCAGGATAGGAGAGATATGATCTCTCTTTTTCATTTTCATTAGAACTCTGGCTGCAGCATTTTGGATCAGCTGAAGGCTTTTAACTACAGTTTGTGGACTTCCTGATAGTAAAGAATTACAATAGTCCAGCCTTGAAGTAACAAATGCATGGACTAGTTTCTCAGCATCACCCCTGGACAGGAGATTGCTCATTTTTGCAATATTCCTCAGATGAAAGAAGGAAATTCTAGAAACCTCTTTGATCTGGGATTTAAATGACAGGTCCTGATCAAAAACAACACCAAGATTTTTTACTTTATAATCTGAAATCAGTTTAATCCCATCCAAATGAAGTGACTGACTAATCAGCTTCTTTTTCAGAGACTCTGGTCCAAAGACTATAACTTCTGTTTTGTCTGCATTCAGAAGCAGAAAGTTAAGAGTCATCCAGGTTTTTCTGTCTTCAGACATGCCTGTAATCTATGTAATGGGTTAGCTTCATCTGGATTATAGACAGATATAGCTGGGTATCATCAGCATAACAGTGGAAATTAATCCCATGCTGTCTAATAACTCTACCAATTGGGAGCATGTATAAAGTAAAGAGAATTGGTCCTAGCACTGATCCCTGTGGTACTCCACAGGTAACCTTTGAGCGTGTTGAAGATCTATCATTAACATGAACAAACTGAATTCGATCAGATAGATCAGATTTAAACCAGTCTAGTGCTGTTCCTTTAATTCCAAATAAATATTCAAGTCTTTCTAAAAGAATATTATGATCAACTGTATCAAATGCAGCACTGAGATCCAACAGGACGAGCACAGATACAAGTCCATTATCTGAGGCCATGAGAATATCATTAGTGACTTTCACCAGAGCTGTTTCAGTGCTATGATGAGCTCTAAAGCCAGACTGAAACTCTCCAAAAAGTTCATTATGGTGGAAGTGATCGCACACTTGTTTGGCAACTACTTTCTCAAGAATTTTAGATCAGAAAGGAAGATTGGATATAGGTCTATAATTGACCAAGTCATCTGGGTCAAGAGACGGTTTCTTAAGCAGAGGTTTAATTCCAGCAACCTTAAAAGCTTTAGGTACATATCCCTGTAACAGACATAGATTAATCACATCTAAAATGGAGGAGGAGATCAAAGGGAATACCTCCTTAAATAACCTGGTTGGAACTGGATCTAACATACAAGTTGAAGGCTTAGATGAAGACAATAGTTTTGCTGATTCAGAAAGTTCAACTGGATCAAAGCAGTCTAAACCCAGTTCAGATTCCATGACTACCTCAGATGCTGCCCCCCCCCTCTAGAGACAAACCAATCGCGGATAGAGGAGTGCTAATGATCTTATTTTTAATAAGATCAACCTTATTTATAAAGAATCCCATAATATCATTGCTGCTAAGAGCAGGTGGAATTGACGGTTCAACAGAGCTATGGCTCTGGTTGAGTTTGGCAACTAGATTAAAAAGAAATCTAGGATTATTCTTATTCTCCTCTATTATTGAGGAGAAATATGCTGCTCTTGCTTTACAAAGGGTCCTCTTATACAGCAGGAAACTATGGACCTCATACACACCTTGCCTTGTTTTTAAAATATATAAACATAAAAAATATAACAGCGGATGCTGAGGAAAAGGTTTTTTTTTACTGTCCTCGCTCCCTTTCCTCAGGCTAAGACGCATGAATCTTCCCGTCATCGGCGCCGAGAAGAGCTTCACTTTGTGGACGAGTATGGTCAGCCCATCACAGTGGCAGTGGAAAGTAAAAGTGGGCGTGGTCACAGGAGGCGGCGGTCCCACTGTGCCATCGAGTGTAGCCTCCCACCAGAGAGGCACTGGGAGGCCCTGAGAGCGATGGGTCTAATGGAGGGGGAGGAAGGACAGGGAGACGTCTACGGTGCAGGGTGAGTACAAGAACAGACCAAAGGCCCGACGCGGTCCTGCAGATCCATCATTACCTGAAGGAAAAGAAACATATCTTTCATATCTGTGATAAAGTGCAGTAATTAAACACTAAAGAATGACGTAATAATGAAGCACATATTTACCAATGAAGCTATGGATGCATGTACAAAACAAATAAAGAAAAAATTATCAACTTCAAAGGTAGTAACGAAGATATGAAGAAAAATAAATAAATCAAACTACAGTAAATAGAAAAAAGTTAGAATATAAATAAAGTCATAAATTAATCTAGACAGTAAAGAGTCTTACATGCATTCTTTGCTCATAGAATATTTTATGATGAACACAGCATTGAGAATGATGAAGATGAGTAATAATAATCTCCTAATCTCAGCTCAGACCCATGGTGGTCAGATTATCCAACCCCAACGTCCCTCAGCTGTGAACAGCTCATCATTTTCATTATATACCTTTGGTTTCCATAGAGAGGCCATGGAGAAAGACTTCCGTACGGCTCCGAAGCGATTCTGGTCCACCATCCGGGGTCTGAGGAGGGAGAAGCGGTGCAGCAACAACACTGTTTATAGTGGGGATGGTGTGCTGCTGACCTCGACTCGGGACATTGTGGGTCAGTGGGCAGAATACTTTGAAGACCTCCTCAATCCCACCAACATGCCTTCCTTTGAGGAATCTGGGCTGGGCTCTCCAATCTCTGTGGGCGAGGTCGCCGAGGTGGTTAAAAAACTCCTCGGTGGCAGGGCCCCGGGGGTGGATGAGATCCGCCCGGAGTTCCTCAAAGTCCTGGATGTTGTAGGGTTGACGTGACTCTGCAACATTGCATTGACATCGGGGGCAGTTCCCCTAGATTGGCAGACTGGGGTGGTGGTCCCCCTATTCAAAAAAGGGACCGGAGGGTATGCTCAAATTACAGGGGAGTCACACTCTTAAGCCTCCCGGCAAGGTCTATTCGGGGTTGCTGGAGAGGAGAGTCCGTCGGATAGTCGAACCTCGGATTCAGGAAGAGCAGTGTGGTTTTCGTCCTGGTCGTGGAACGCTGGGCCAGCTCTACACCCTCAGCAGGGTCCTGGAGGGTGCATGGGAGTTCGTTCAACCAGTCTACATGTGCTTTCTGGACTTTGAGAAGGCGTTCGGCCGTGTCCCTCGGGGGGCCCTGTGGGGGGTTCTCCAGGAGTACAGCCCTTTGATACGGGCTGTCAGGTCCCTGTATGACAGGTGTCAGAGTCTGGTCCGCATTGCCGGCAGTAAGTCGGGCTCGTTTCCTGTGAGAGTTGGACTCCGCCAGGGCTGCCCTTTATCACTGATTCTACCTTCATGGACAGAATTTCTAGGCACAGCCAAGGTGTTGAGGGGATCTGTTTTGGTGGCCTCAGGATTGCATCTCTGCTTTTTGCAGATGGTGTGGTCCTATTGGCTTCATCAGGTCATGATCTGCAGCTCTCGCTTGATTGGTTCGCAGCCGAGTGTGAAGCGGCCAGGATGGGGATCAGTGCCTCCAAATCCGAGGCCATGGTCTTGAGCCGGAAAAGGGTAGAGTGCCTTCTCCGGGTCAGGGGGGGTATCCTGCCCCAAGTGGAGGAGTTTAAGTATCTCGGGATCTTGTTCACGAATTAGGGAAGAAGGGAGCGGGAGATCGACAGGTGGATTGGTGCAGCGTCTGCCATGAAGCGGGTGCTTTACCGGTCCATCGTGGTGAAGAGAGAGCTGAGTCAAAAAGCGAAGCTCTCGATTCACCGGTCAATCTACGTTCCTACCCTCATCTATGGTCATGAACTCTGGGTCATGACCGAAAGAACGAGATTGCGGATACAAGCGGCCGAAATGGGTTTCCTCCGTAGGGTGGCTGGGCTCTCCCTTAGAGATAGGGTGAGAAGCTCGGTCATCAGGGAGGGACTCAGAGTAGGGCTGCTGCTCCTCCACATCGAGAGGAGCCAGTTGAGGTGGCTCGGGCATCTGGTTAGGATGCCTCCTGGACGCCTCCCTGGTGAGGTGTTCCGGGCACGTCCCACCGGGGGGAGGCCCCGGGGAAGACCCAGGACACGCTGGAGAGACTATGTTTCTCGGCTGGCCTGGGAACGCCTTGGGGTTCCTCCTGAGGGGCTAGAGGAAGTGGCTGGGGAGAGGGAAGTCTGGGCCTCCCTTCTTAAGCTGCTACCCCGCGACCCGACCCCGGATAAGCGGAGGAAGATGGATGGATGGATGGTTTCCATACATATCTGCCCCCTGATCAGAGGATACCCTGTCCCCTGATTAGAGGACATCCGGCCCCCTGGTCAGGGGACACCCATCCCCCTGATCAGAGGACACCCTGTCCCCTGATTAGAGGACATCTGGTCCCCTGGTCAGAGGACACCAGGCCCCCTGGTCAGGGGACACCCAGCCCTCTGATCAGAGGACACCCTGTCCCCTGATCAGAGGACACCCTGTCCCCTGATTAGAGGACATCCGGCCCCCTGGTCAGGGGACACCCAGCCCTCTGATCAGATGACACCCTGTCCCCTGATTAGAGGACATCCGGCGCCCTGGTCAGGGGACATCCAGCCCCATGATCAGAGAACACCCTGTCCCCTCATTAGAGGATATCTGGCGCCCTGATCAGAGGACACCCTGTCCCCTGATTAGAGGACATCCGGCGCCCTGATTAGAGGACATCCGGCCTCCTGACTTAGATCAACTGGTGACGGTCAAAATTTCAGAGACCGCTGCTCATTTAAATCATCTTTACATTCCACAATATTGGATATTATTACTATCCTTAGAGATTAGTTGAGATGATATCCAGCTTTTTTTTCCATCTTCCATAAAATCTCCCTATTTTTCACATTGATTTTATGGCAACAGACGTCCTGGAAGCACAGCAGGTTTAAACTTTAAAGATATTTCTACCTCCTTTACAAAACGAGTTGGACTGTAAGCTATTTGTTTCCTTCCAGACGACATGAGATATTCAAAGCAGAAAAGGTTAAACTTAAGTCAGCAGAACAGTGAGCGCCCTCTGGCAGACACTCCAGGTATAAGAAATACACATCAGAGGCCCGCTTCACCATCATCATCCTCAACTCTGAATTAATCGATCTGAACGTCACAAACTTCACAACAGCTGCTTTGAGATACTTTCATCAACTCTAAGTCCAAATTCCAACCCTGCCCCTAAACACTAACCTGTTAGCTTGTTCCCATGGAGGCTCTGCCACATTAAAGCTGAAGTCTGTAAGTTTTTAAAAATCACTTTTTTGTCATATTGGCTAAAACTGTCCCTATGCCCAGACAGCAGTACATGTGATATGTAACCTGTGAAAAAAACTGCTTCAATTGGTCCCGCCTACTGCCTGTATTTCAATCTGGAAAGAATAATTCAGGACGAGTCAAAACAACCAATCACAGCCAGAGGAGCGTCTGATGGAGTGTCAATCACAGCTCACACACGCTGAATCCCGCCCCCCCTTCTGGTCGCATGCGGTAGCCGCGCAGATGCTGTGAGAGGGGTGGAGCTTGGAGGTGGGGCATGAGTGAAGCAGAGAGGGTGGGGGAGTGACGTGAAACCTGTTTTTCTTCAAATTTTCAGTCGAAGTCTGCTCTCTCCTCAATGTTACAGACTGCAGCTTTAAAGGGCTGGTTATGCTCCCCACAGCAGTGTGTTGCAGTGAGCTTGACACACACATTTTTTATTTATGCTCAATTTTGAGCGTCGTCTGCGCTATACGCTGTGGGTCTAGATACGGCCGAGGCGGAGAGGATGTGGGGCTAAGTTTGTCTGACAACGGAGGGACGTGAGGGCGAAAAATAGCAGGGATCCAGGTGGAATGGGTCCCACCGTTCTTGCGCGCCTCGCTCTACTAGGTGCTCCATCTTCACGAGTCGTTTTCCACAATTGCGGTCATAAAAACAAGACAAGCTGGCCTCCTGTCTGCCGCACTGTCTGAGGTCACCTACAATTTGGGAGAGTTGCAGCAGAGTGTCTGCAGAGGGGGCGGGGACGTCTTTTTGTTCACTGCGACACCTTTGCAGACAACCACATTTTGAAGTATAAATCGGCCATAAGGGTTGTCCCCAACCAGGAAGTGGGCAGGGCCAGTAGACTGTTCAGCCCTTAGACAGCCAGTCTGCAACAGAGAAGGCTGGCTGGGATTTGACAGCGGGTCTAACGGCGACCTAATGATGGAAATGCTGGCATTTAAGCTCTGCTAGTTTGCTGCATCTTCATCACACTGAGAAAATCACAGGTTTCAAAAATTTATTCTAAAAGGGAAGGTCCTCTTAGAAAGCTGGGACTGACTTCAATGGCAGTGAAACTGATTGTGAAGGGGTAGTATGTCCCTTCACTTTGAAAAACCATTATCAGTCTAGCCCCGATTCAACGAGTCACCATGACAACAGGCAGCAGGAAGTGTCTATTTAACACCAGTGAAACTAGAGCTTTAATGCAGAAATTAAAAATTAGTGGAAAATGTATTTGAAAGACAGAGAAACAGCTGCAAAGGAGGGGAAGATAGCGAAGCAGTAGATTAGGGGAGAGGTTTATATGAAGTCGGTATGGCAAGCAATTTTAACATTTATTAAAAGCATGCTCCTCTCTGTTGTTCCATCTGTAGATCACCAAAATAGGATTCCTCCTGGTCAGAATTATACCTAGAAATATTTACATATTTTAAGTGGCTGTTTTAATATTTCCCAGTTTGAGTGAAAATGTATTTATGATATCTGAAAAACATTCCTTCATAGTCAAAATAACACAAATGCTGACCAGTAACAATAGGTATATGGAGATGTACAATTAATTTCTAGCCATTGTGGATGTTTATTCTAGATTTAAAGAATGTCATTTTGAAAAAGAATAAATGTTTTTCATTTATATCTGTGCAGATTCTCAGTCCTCCAGGTCAGGGTCCAGCTTGAAATCCTTCAGTTCTGGCAACTGGATGTGATGTTTTCTAGAAGACGTTTCTCCTCTCACCCTAGAGGCTCCTTCAGTTCTAACTAG